GATTTCTGTGACTCCAATATCATTGATCATTTCTACTGTGACACTGCTCCTCTACTGCAGATCTCCTGCACAGATACACATTTATTGGAAATGATGAGCTTCATCCTAGCTTTAGTGACTCTCTTGGTTACTTTCTTTTTAGTGGCTCTGTCATATACATCTATTACACTAACCATTTTGAAACTCCCTTCTGCCAACCAGAGAAAAAAGGCCTTTTCCACATGCTCTTCTCATATGATTGTCATCTCCATCTCATATGGAAGCTGCATCTTCATGTACATTAAACCCTCAGCCAAGCAGCGGATATCCTTAATGAAAGGAGTATCAGTGCTCAATACCTCTGTTGCCCCACTTTTGAATCCTTTCATTTATACCTAAGAAATCAGCAGGTGAAGCAAGCATGTAAAGACTTGCTACAAAGAATTCTGTCTTTATCTAACAAGTAGAATCACAGTGAGGTTTATAAAGGAAATTCATTATCAATGAAAATTGCAAAGAAAGTAGCTGGATGGGATCCTAATTTTCTTTTCTGTTGCATTATTCAGTATATTACCATATTTAGCCTTTCACTTCTTCCTGAAGTGTCATGAAATTTACATAAGCTATTTTCCACCAATGGTTTTCCTTTCAAAATAATAAACATTCTTTTTCTGTTCTATTATAAGTATTCTCACATATGACCCCTTTTTCTCTTTCTTTCATTGAAATGTATATATTTTAAATGTTTTATCAATTTAATGTATCAGTTCATTGAAAGTGTTATTTCCACATGAATGCAGTATGTTTAATTCTTATTATCATATTTGAAAATATGTAAAATCTTAATGATTTCAAAATAATTATATGATGTAACTTCTTTGGGATTTCAGTTTTCCCCAGATTTTATTATATCTTGGTACACATTTTTAGTTTTCTTTTTCAGTATATTTGAAAGTGGGAAATTGAGATTTAAAAAAATAATAATCGTAATTTTTTATCTTGAACATTTTTTAAAATATCATACTATGCTCATGAAATAAAAAAGTCATATGATATATTTGTGTTATATTTTATTTGATATAGATAAGAAAATATTAAATCATATAGCTATGAATTGAAAAAGAAAGGGATATTGCAATAGTAGTAGATAACATGTGAGTCTGGGCTACCTCCTCTCCCAGCTTACTGCACCCTCTGACCTTGCTGATACTCTATCCTGATATACAACATTCATCTTTTAATGGATGACTTCAGGAAGAATCTCATTTCTGTTTGATGATGGAATTTTGCTTATGCTTAACCAGCTGTATGACTAGATGGACAGACAACATCTACCTCAAGTTTAACAGCTAACATCACATGGGAAGTTGGTCAAGCATTCATTCTTTACTAAGTCCCAACATCAATCTGAAAACAACCAATTGAAAACACAATAGACATCTACAGAGGATGTCCTGGTTTTTCTTAAAAGTCTAGGTGTGCATAGTGTGACTCACCTATATGAACCTGCAAAAGTCTACATGCAAAACGTGTCTGTCTACATTCATAAGTCTGCTACTCCAAGCAGCATTGGATATACTGGGTGCCAAACAATCTCACATTGAAGCCAAGACCTTTTGCAAAGCTTTCTTTTGTTCTGGATCCCACCCAAAAGTAGCATCTTTATCTATCAAAGAAGTATGTGATTATTACTCCAAAAATCCAATGATGCCCAGTAAGTGGCGTAACACTTTCTTAGTAACAGGAGAGACCATATGTATTCATTTAGCACTTTGGAAGGGCTATCTCAACTTTCTCCTAACCAATGGATCTCTAGAAATTTCACTGAAGTAACGGGTCCTTTAATCATAAAAGCTATTATCTACAGTTTAGTAACAAATGTATTTCAATGGTGCCTAGTTTCCTTGCTACTTCCTATTTGCTAGGTCCATTCAGAAAATTATCATCAATAAAATGGAATGGTGTCATGTTGTGAAGAAGTGAAAAGCAATCAATTTCCTAAAGATTAGAATTCCCTAAAGATTAGATCTTAATATACGACTGGAGTTGATATGGCAGGGTGGAACAATGTTGCTGTGCTGCCTTTTCCAGATGAAAGTCAGTTGTTTCTGATGATGTGTAATAAAAGTTATAAAGAAAAACATTCTTAAAAAGTTTCCATGGGATATATTGATTTTTCCCAGCAACAAAACCACATCTTGAGTAGCAGCTGCCATTGAAGCCAACACTTGATAGAATTTATGATAATTTATTGTCACCCTCCAGTATTTATCATTCTTCTGCATAGGCCAAATAGGAAAATTGAACAGAGAAATGGTAGGAATCAGACCTGTATCTTTTAAGTCCTTAATGGTGATACTAATCTCCGTGATTTCCCTCAGAGTGGTACATATATGATTCACATTATTGTTGATAAAGGTAAGCCCATTGACTTACCCTTTGCCTTTCCTGCTGTAATACCACTTTAGCACTCTAAAAGAAACCACTTCAAAGGCAGAGTTATTTTAAGGATACTGCCAAAGTTAAAAACATTTTAGACAAGTCCCGAAAATAAATAAATAAATACTCAAAACATTCTCACAATTGAATATACTATATACTTGAGCTTGTGAATAACAAGATTACACATCTCATACATATTGCTGAATTTCAAAGTCTCAAATACAAAATATTTAATATTAAATGTGTAATCAACACTTTATTATTACTTCCTAAATGATTTACAAGCTGAAATGCTACATGCATATGAATTTGAGTATCTTTAATAACTGTTTTGCAGATTCAAAGAATTTCTGGCTGATAAGGATTTCAGGTGAAAAAAAATGCTATGCTAATTCATATTTTCTGCAATTTTTATTATGCTAATTCATATTTTCTGCAATTTTTCCTCCAGATAAAAGGCTATTTTCTGTTTATATTATTTTTATTAACATTTATTAGTTGTTCGTATTAGTGGGGTTCAGTGTGATATTTCAAAATACACATATAGTGTGCACTGAGTAGGCTACTCTGGATTGGCTTTTAAAATGTGTATTTGAGTGCATTTGTGTGTTTTAAAGGAAGTCCTCTCTGTTATTAAAATGGCTAGCTACATATATAATTTTTTAATCTATCTTTTGAAATTGAACAACCATCCTAGGGTGTAAAAATGTTTGGATAACTATGATTCATATACTGAGGATGGTATTTAAAACAACAAATGAGTGCACTCATGCCTCAAATAGCTGTCTGTCTTAATCACAAAGTAACAAATTAACTACCTCACTAATATCAGTTTACCTTAGATATTTTGGATGATTTTTTAAATATAATTATGGCTAGGCTTACAGGAACTATCAGATTCTACATTTTAAATCAACTTTCTCTTTCATGGTTTCCAACAACATTCTTTTAGTATCTCTTTGATGTATTAATTCTCCATTATTACCCTTTGGAAAAGTCAATTCAAGAGTACAAATTGGTCACTAACCCTAAATTTTAATAAAAGTATTTCAACTTTTTAGAAATGATTTTTATGTGAATGTTTGACATATTGGAGTAAAACTATGTATAGACTAATTTTAAAGCAATCATATCATAATGAATTGGTCCATGAATTCAAAAATATCAATCTAGACAAAAAATATTCATAAAATGACAGCTTATACTTGCTATGAGGTCCCTGCTTAAGGAAATCAGATTACAAACACTGTGTTAGCTTTACATCACTGTGACAAAATACTTGAGAAAAACAACTAAAAGGAGGAAAGATTTATTTTGACATATGGTTTCAGAGGTTTCAGCTCACAGTCAGCTTCCATCGCTATAGGACTGAAGTGAGACAGAACATCATGGTAGAGATGACATGGTAAAGCAAAGCTGCTCACCTCATGACAGCAGGAAGGCAGAGAGAGGGAGGGGGAAAAGGAGAGTGAGAGGGAGGGATAGAGAAAGACAGAAAGGGGGAAAGCAAGGGGTCAACAAGATATAGGTCCAAAGGCACACCCCCAAGGACCAATTCCTTCAACTAGGTCCTACCTCCTACATTTTCCACCATTTCCCAATAATTCATTCAGCTACAAATCACTCAATGATTGATGAGGTCAGAGCCCTCATGATCTAATCACTTCCCAAAAGCCTCACCACTGAACATTGTTGTTATGGGAACCTAACCTTTTTAACACATGAGCCTTTAGGGGACGTTCCAGATCAGAACTATAATGAATACTCATGTCTCTATTTGATGAAAGAAAGAATTAGAATGAATATAATATAGACCTGTAAAATCATTAATATCACAAATAATATTAATAGAGGTTTATTGCACAATACCAATAAATGAATGAGCAGACATAACAACAAATTATATGAAATTTTCTAAGGAGACATGCTTCTAAGACCTCAAGCTTGAAACATTCCTTCATCTCTTTCACAGATTAGCTCAGTGGGCGTCATCTGTGTATGAATCACCATGTACTATTTTCTCATCAGTATTAAAACAAACACATAATTTTTCTGTTTTTTCATAACTTTCTTATATCAAACATTGACTATGCATTACATAATTTTGCAAAAAGACTAAATTTAAAATTGAATTTGAAATTTGAAGATAACCTTGGTGTGAATTCACCAAAATATTATGCTATTATTTATAAGTTAAAGTAAATGTCCTTAGCTTGTGAATTTAATTAAGTTACAAATACAGAGATCAAAGACCCAATGTCAATGCATCCATGTTTTAAAAAAACAAATTACTAAAAGTCATATTTTCAATTCTGACCTTATTCCAAGTTTGTGCATTAAAAGTGAGGTCTAAATAAAGAAAAATAGCAATAAAATGCTAAGAGGTAACACACATACACGCATATCTAGATTTACTTAAGAACATTAAATTAAAAATTTGGCTTCACGACATAAATAATTCCATTGTTTCATTGTACAAATGGAAATATTAATTACATAATGTAGGAAATATATTTGAGCTACAACTGTGTACAACTGTGGTCTTCTACATACTTAGTAATAATGAGCCTAAGACAGTTTCACTTTTTTGAAAAAATTATCTTACTTACCATATCTTGGAAGGCTATTTTCACTTGCTTGTTCCTTAGAGTATAGATGAATGGGTTCAATAGAGGGGCAATGGACATATTTAGAACAGCCACTCTCTTATTAAAAGTTGCTGCATCTTTAACAGGATTTATATACATAAAAATGCAACTTCCATATGAAAGTGAGATCACAATCATGTGAGAGGAACAGGTAGAAAAGGCTTTTTTCCTCTGGTGAACAGAAGGGAATCGCAAAATGGTCCTGATAATGTATGTGTAGGAAAGAATCACCAGCACCAAGGTGAAGATGAGGGTGACCGCAGCAAGGACAAGCTGAATCACTTCTATGAAATATGTGTCTGAACAGGATAAGTGCAACAACACAGTGTAGTCACAGCAATAATGATTGATGATGTTAGATGCACAGAAAGGCAACTGGAGAGTCATCATATATGGCACAATGACAACTACAAAACCAGAGCACCAGGAACAGAACACGAGTCCAATGCAAAGTCTCCTGCTCATTAAGGTTGTGTAATGCAGGGGTCTGCAAATGGCAACATAGCGATCATAGGACATGGCTGCTAAAAGGTAAAATTCAGTAGCTCCCAGGAGGATTGCGAAAAAGTACTGAGTGAAGCAACCAGCAAAGGAGATAGTCTTATCTCCAGTTCCAATATTGACTAGCATTTTGGGAACAAAGACAGAAGTGAAAGATATTTCCAAAAGTGCAAAATTTCGGAGGAAGAAATACATAGGAGTCTGTAGGCGAGAATCCAGCAGGGTCAGAATGATGATGGTCAAGTTTCCCACGACACTAAAGATGTAAGTTAGTAGTAGAAAGAAGAAAAGTGTCACCTGAAGCTTGACATCATTAGTCAATCCAAGAAGAATGAACTCTATCACTGATGTTTGGTTTTCCATCGTTAACTTCAGGCAAGTCAAGGTGGAGAATAACAAAAATGTCAGAGACTGAAATAAAACTAAAAGTTCCAATTTTTATTGAAATATAAAATCAGGCCAAAAAACATTTAAATTTTTAAAATCTGAATTTTTTTACACTTAATTTTGAAAATGCATTATACCTGAATAACAACAAATTAACACATTAACCCATTTTACTTCATGAATGACAAAAGTGATGCTTCTTAGGGACAGTCTCAATTATTTCTTCTATATTGTATCAATGTTCATTTTTTGCCATGTTATCTCTTGTTTATATTTTCCTTCTCTTTTTTTCTATTCTGATTTTCCTAAGTTATTGGCTGTTGCCACATGAGCACAGACATGTCTAAAACAAATTTAAAGAAAGTTTTGAGAATCTTTTTCAATTAAACTAAATTGATTAATTATCCAAGTAAGTATAAACCAAGGTATGAAATAATACAAATAAAATTTAACTTGGTTGAATTTTTATTGAAATTTTTTATTGTTTTGCATGTTTTGCTTATTTACACTTTGTTGTTTTGAATAACAGTAATTGTAGTCCTACTGAAGTTCAAAGGATCCAGAGTTTTATGCTAATTCTTAATAAAATATTTAGTACTTATGATATTTAATGTAATATATGAATTAATTAATCCTCAATAAAAGAGAAAATTTAAGTAAATTTTCTCAATAAAAGAGAAAATTTAAATAAATTTTTTAAAATTTAAATTTTTTCCTTAAAAAGTCAATTCAAGTTCAGTTCTCCATATAATTTTCTATAACAAATCCAATAATAATAATTGTTTTCATTTTCTTTATCAACATGCACCACCACCTTACACTGGGTCATAAAGTGAAATTATTTTCTAGTTATATTAAATGTACATACTCACATTTGACCTTAAAATAAATAAATCACCCTCAAAAATAGGCTTCTATTGCATTCTATCTTTTTTAAGGACCAGAAAGTTGTACAGATTCAGTCAAATTTTTAGTGCAAAATATAGTTTTGACTTCTCTTTAAGTACATAACCCTATTTTGTTGAATGTTATACAGCTTTTATTCAAAAAACCCCACCTAAGTTCATATATGCAATTCTTCAGAATTTTCTTTTTAATATTTTCCATTACTTGCCATGAAAAGATATTAATAAGAGAATGTTTTTTCTTGTGAAGAAAATTACAAAGCTTCTTTGCATTTAACAATTGGTTCATTACATATATTATTGTCGTCTCTTAATATGTAATAGGAATAGCCACACATTTTATTTTTATGAAGGTAAAAACTCCACAAACATTTAATATAAATAAGAAGGCAGTTTTTGTCAAATTAGGAAAACTTACAGCCTAGTAGGAATACATCTTGAAATTTTCAATATCGCTAATATTACAACATGAGCAATTTTTTAAAAAATATTTTTCAGTTGTATATGGACACATTACCTTTATTTTATTTATTTTTATGTGGTGCTGAGGATCAAACCCAGTACCTTGTGCATGCTAGGCAAGCACTCTGCAACTAACCTGCAACCACAGCCCACAACATGAGCAATTTTCACTTTAATAGAGAATAATCATTTTTCTTAGAAAGTCACAAGTTAGTTGTAAGAATCAAATATATTAATATTTTTAAAAGCTATCATATGCTATGCAGTTAACAAATCCTGCTATTATGTAGAATTATAATACACCAACAAAAATGGAAAGTTATATAATAAAAATGTAAATTGTTACATTAATAAATAATACAAATTACTGTACTAATAATATAAATTTAACTGTTAATTGAAATTATGATAATTATGTTTTAATATATTATCTCACATACTTTATAATGAGTATAGAATAAGAGAAAAATTAAAAATTATGTAGAAACAATGAATTTTAAGAAAAGTTTTATATTTTGAAAATTATTAAATCATAACTCACACTATGACAAATAGTTTATTAATTATAGTATTCTCAAAGCTCAGTCAAATAAATCTTGGAGATTTAATCAATTGGTAAAAATATTTTTTGCTTCTACATAAAATGACTAGTGTCACATGTAATTTGAAATCCATTTTTATTGTTTTGTTTGAGACCCTAAATATTAATTTCAATTTAAAACTCTGACTTAGAAAGAAATCAAGAAATTTCATTCACTAAATAATATCAATATTCTGAAATTTTCCTAATTTAAATAATTTTTGACAGAACAACTTTATAAATGATTCTTCAGTATCCTGAATGAATGAATGAAGAATCAAAAAATTAGAGCAAAACAACATTTTATATTGATAAGTATCTTAATATATTCAATTAAAAATCTACAAAAAATATATAAGTAAAATTTATATTAAACATTATTTTAGCATATTAAGGAATAATAATCCTTCATGATAAAGATAAGTTATATATATATAACTTTATATATATATAAATATATATATATATTTATATATATATAAATATATATATATATATATTTATAAATTTTACTTATATATTTTTTATAAGTAAAATTTATATTAAACATTATTTTAGCATATTAAGGAATAATAATCCTTCATGATAAAGATAAGTTATATATATATAACTTTATATATATATAAATATATATATATTTATATATATAAATATATATATATATATATATATATATTTATAAATTTTACTTATATATTTTTTGTAGATTTTTAAGTTATATATATATATATATATATAATATATGGTTGTATGTATAGTGATGTTTTATATACGTAATCAAATAATAAAAATTGTCTAATCCAGTTTATTTGACAAAAAATAATTGACTTCCAAAGCTCTACTGCTAGGATACTGACTTTTTAAAAAAGATAAACTTTCTTCATGATTAAATGGACATGGAAGACATTTCCCAAACTTTTCAGGACAAAATTCATTGTGAATAATTTATCCCAAGGTGAAATCATAACTCTCATGTTTAGTTTCTGTCTCCTTCTATAGTGGACCTTAAATACCTAAAAATTACCATTCAATTTGTGAAACATTGCTCTAGGTTAAATTTAGGAGAAAGACTTAATAAAACATAATTGTGAAATAAGAATGAGATTAACGGAAAAGCAGGAAAAATGTAATTTGATTTTACTTCTTTCTCTCTAACTGTGTGAGTATAGTGCAACATTTCCTGTCTAAAATACATACATACAATGGAATTTTACTCAGCAATAAAAGAGAATAAAATCATGGCATTTTCAGGTAAATGGATGGGGTTGGAGAAGATAATGCTAAATAAAGTTAGCCAATCCCAAAAAAACAAATGCCGAATGTTTTCTCTGATATAGGAGGCTGACTCATAGTGGAGTAGGGAGAGGGAACATTGGAGAAATAGATGAATTCTAGATAGGGAAGATATGCAGGAGGAAGGAAAAGGGAGGGGGCAGGGGATTAGCAAGGATGGTGGAATGTGGTGGACATCATTATCCAAAGTACATGTATGAAGACACGAATTGGGTATCAACCTACTTTATACACAAACAGAGATATGAAAAATTGTGGTATATATGTGTAATAAGAATTGTAATGCAAAAAAAGTAGATGTATAAAGACATGAATTACTGTGAACATACTTTATATACAAAAATATGAAAAATTGTGCTCTATACGTATAATAAGAATTGTAATGCATTATGCTGTTGTGTATTTAAAAAATAAAATCAATAACAACAACAACAAAATACATATATACAATAAAAATTTTGCACTGGATTTTATTTATATTTGTATAAATCAATTAAAAAATTTAAAAGAATGTTTGTGCAGTTATGTTGACTAAGATTTAAAAAGTTGACAAAACAGTAAAAAATATATGAATAACTAGTTAAATGCAGCCACTGTAGACCCTCTCCTACCTCAGTCAGATGAACTAGTTCTGTTTGGTTCCAAATGAGGTCCTTTTGTGGTTGAACTGGAGCATATACAGGTTTAGTACCCATTGGGAAATGGTCCCTGGGTCATCAAGTAAAAATCTAAGCAAGCTATTTACATGAAAGTGAGATAAATGTGAAGTTAGCTTTGAAAGTTTTAATTTCCATATCAAAAAAGTATATGTGAGCACTGCAGAAACAAATTTCCCTAACAGTTACTGTATGGTGGTGGTAATGTAAGGAATTGTCAAATATTTTTTATAAGAAAATTCAAAAAAATCATAAAAACACAAGCCAACTCAACAAGTTGCTTTCTTAAAAACCCAGTAGTTATATTATTAGGAATTTATTTTTGCCATCAGTGTTTCAAATATATAAAACTTTACTTCCAGTTGTAAACTCTTGTATAGTTTCATGGAGAACTGGTGGTTTCCAACACTGTAGAGGCAAAATACAAAGTGGTACTGCAACTTCTTTTAGTGATTTAAAATGACAGAGTTTCTCAAAGCCACATAAACAGCAATAAAACACAGCAACCAACTTTAAAGAACTCATACCATCCAAAGTGAGACCCATTTGAGCAACAAAATTCATAATTATAGTATCAAATTATAATTCATACGATAAAATAAATATGCCTGCATTGATTCTTCTTGCATAATTAAAGAAACAATGGCAAAAGGACAGTTTCTTATAGTGAAATATCAATCAGGGAATTAGAAGGAAAGAAGGGAAAAAAACAACTCTGAGGCAAACATTGCATTAAAATTATTGCATATAAAATCTAAAATTTGTTAACATAAATTTGAAGAACAGGATTTACATTCCCTCAAACTTTCTCTCCCAAATATCGGCAACTAAAAATAGTTTATAGTGTGCAAAACTGTCAGACATCACCCTAACCAAGTGCTCACAATTTTGAAATAATCAATAATAGATGTACTGTCATCATGAACCTATCAGTGTGATACAAAAAGAATATGTCTATATTAATTGTGACAAATGCATAACATCATTCCAGTCTTGTAAAAACTTGAGACCAACTCAAGCCAACAAACTTTCTACAAAATATATGATCAGTAGTCTTCAAAAATGTTAAACCCATAAAAT